AGGCTTGGTAGTGTGGACGCATTGCTTACAAATTCGACCTTGGGGGGCTAATTTCAGACTAAGGGCCTAGTGTAGACCAGGCCGGTCAGAGCTGGGAAAGGACTCCAGGTCTGCTGAGTCCCCAGCTAATGCTCTGCCCACTAGGCACCACAGCCATACCCTGGTTTTTCAGGCCAAATCCCTCCTTGGATAGTTCCATTCCCATCCACCCCTTCTGTATTGGTGACGCTGCTCTTCATTCCGGCTCTTAAAAATCTTCCACCCTCAGCCCCAGAGGTGGCAGCTTTTCAGGAGTTCCCGATGTGTCTGGTTTGAGGGGGGAGGCTTGAAGATACTTCTGCCAGGCAATAGACTTTGACATCGCCATAGTAACCACGCTAGGCCATCACATTTTCTTTCCAAGAATGCCCCCGGCTTCACCAGCCCAAGCGGCAGAATTTGGCCTCTGACCACGGCCCGCGACCTGGGTTTTCATGTTTCATCTCTGTACAGTTCAGATGAAACGGGCCTCAGCGGTTTTCACTTATTAGCAGCTGAACATGGACAAAAGCAGGAAAGGAACTGCTCCAGCAAGCTTGTGCTCAGAAGGCCTGATTCTGCAAATCTTTGCTTGCTCTGAGCGCAGGCAACAGGGACGGTTAATCGGGCGAGGAAAGATTAGTAGGAAAAAAGACTCTTGGAGCATGTGCAACCCACACACCTAGGGTACGTCTAGACTACAGGCTTTTGTCGACAGAACTTTTGTCGACAGATACTGTCTAGACGACATCCAGTTCCGTCGACAAATGAGGAGAGGCTAAAGAGACTGGGACTTTTCAGTTTAGAAAAGAGCAGACTGAGGGGGGATATGATAGAGGTCTATAAAGTCATGAGTGGTGTGGAGAGGGCTGATAAAGAAAAGTTATTTATTAGTTCCCATAATAGAAGAACTAGAGGGCACCAAATGAAATTAATGGGTAGCAGGTTTAAAACTAATAAAAGAAAGTTCTTCTTCACACAGCGTGTTGTCAACCTGTGGAACTCCTTGCCAGAGGAGGCGGTGAAGGCTAGGACTATAATAGAGTTTAAAGAGAAGCTGGATAAATTCATGGAGGTTAGGTCCATAAAAGGCTATTAGCCAGGGGATAAAATGGTGTCCTTGGCCTCTGTTTGTCAGAGGCTGGAGAAGGATGGCAGGAGACAAATCGCTTGATCATTGTCTTCGGTCCACCCTCTCGGGGGCACCTGGTGCTGGCCACTGTCGGCAGACAGGATACTGGGCTAGATGGACCTTTGGTCTGACCCAGTACGGCTGTTCTTATGTTATGACAAAGCAAGCCGCTTTGTCGACATGACAGTGTAGACGCAAAGGACAGTGTAGATGCAATAACGCCTTCTGTCGACAGAAGGAGTTATTCCTCGTAGAATGAGGTTTACAGCCATCGACAAAACTGCTGAGTTCTGGCGACGTTATGTCGACAGAACTCAGCAGCAGCGTAGACGCAGGTATAGTTTTGTTGACAAAAGTCCACTTTTGTCGACAAAACCCTGTAGTCTAGACACACCCTATGACTGTGTCTACATTGGCGCGATCTTGCACCAAAAACATGCTGTCTGTCTACACCACCAGGGAGTTCTTGCGCAAGAACATTGACGTTGTAATGTGTGAAATCAGGGCTCCTTGCACAAGAACTATGATGCTCCCGCTCAGGAATAAGCCCTCTTGCACAACTGTTCTTGCGCAAGAGGCCAGTGTAGACAGGCAACATGAATTTCTTGCGCAAGAAAGCCAGATGGTTAAAATGGGCATCCGAGCTTTCTTGCACAAGAGAGCATCTACACTGGCACGGAGGCTCTTGCGCAAAGGCACATGCCAGTGTAGACGCTCTCTTGTGCAAATACTTTAACACAAGAACTCTTGTGTTAAAGAGTATTTGCGCAAGATCATGCCAATGTAGACGTAGCCTACGTGTGATTCACTGTCTCATATACTGGCACTTAGACCACTTACAGCGAGAGAAATTTTAGCTCAAGCTATAGAGGCGCCTACATTAAGCACCAGTCCCAGGTTCAAATCTGCCCAGTGGTAGTTACTCATAGTCAAGTTGAGGGAGAGGCCTGTGCGTTTACGGTAATAAACTTTAGCAGCAAAATGCATCTATTTCCATTTCGTTTGTGCTTCACTTTTTAGCAGCAGGTACAGCTGGCTCAGTTATTATAGCGACATGCCCTGCAGAGATAGAAACTGAATCTAGATGATGACAGATGGGGTGATATTCCCAAGTTAGATCGATAGCTCGGGAACCGGAGTGGCACTAAGGCAAAATTAAAATGCAGAAGCCAGACTTGTAGCTAGGACTTTGCATTCAGGACTTAATGAGAAAAGCCAACCTTGCTGCCCGAATGCAGCTAGGGCTCTGGAAAAACACAGCAGGCATCATTTCAAGAGCTGTTCACACTCACAGATTGCCGCAAAACACTTTGAAGTGCAAATCGAGGCCTTTTCTCAGGTCTGAAGCGAATGCTGACGCAAAGGAAAAAACCGCGCCCGTCCCCTCCCTGCATGTTGGGTGGCAGGGCAGGTGTCCTGGGCTCCAAACGCACCATCTGGAGTCACTTGGGAGTTGATGTCCTTGTAAGAATTAGCACAGGAGGGGGGAAAAGAGCGAGCCGCTCGGAAATCAGAGCCTGGCCACAGAAGGAGCATTAAGGGACTGCAAATTTGGAAACTCTCAGACTGAAACGTGAAACTTCACCTTGCTTTTGCAAGCGGGTGAAAGCATTGCAGCCCGCAGATGCTGCTCTGTGCGCTAGGCTGAGGGGCTCACTGGAAAGGTACAGACAGAAGAACAGCCACACTGGCTCAGACCAGCGTCCTGTCTGCCCACAGTGGCCAATGCCAGGTGCCCCAGAGGGAGTAAACACAATAGGGAATCCTCACGTGATCCCTCCCGTCACCCACCTCCAGACAAACAAACAGCGGCTAGGGACACCATTCCTACCCATCCTGGCTAATAGCCATTGATGGAACCAATCTCCATGAATCTATCTAGCTCTTTTTTGAACCCTGTTAAAGTCCTGGCCTTCACATCCTCTGGCGAGGAGTTCCACAGGTTGATGGTATGCTGAGAGAAGAAGAACTTCCTTTTGTTTGTTTTAAACCTGCTGCCTGTTAATTTCATTTGGTGACCTCTAGTTCTTAACATTGTGGGAACAAGTCAATAACTTTTCCTTATTCAATGTTTCCAACCCAGTCAGGATTTTATAGACCTCTATCAAATCCCCCCCTCCACCCTCCCCTCCCCATCTGTGTTTTCTAAACTAAAACATCCAAGTCTTTTTAATCTCTCATCATAGGGGACCCATTCCAAACCCCCCATCATTTTCGTTGCCCTTTTCCAATGCCAAGATATATTTTTTGAGATAAGGCGACCACATCTATACACAATATTCCAGATGTGGGCATACCAGGATATTAGAAGACCAGTCCTGTGGAGCTGGTGTCTGTCCTCCTCCCCCCCCCACACACTTTAGTGACCAAATAGCAATGTAAACCTGGCCTCACAGCCATGCTAGCAGGTCCGCACATCTAACTGCAGCCTGCAGCTTGAACTATAGCCAGGCTGCAGAAGGACTGGCTTTGGGCACAAGTCACAGTGGGACTCAGGTTCTGACCAAGGCCCTGACCGGGACCCAGCTCCAGAGGGCTGCTGAGCTGTTTCTGGATGGAAGTTGGGCTGGGGTTGAAACCGGAGTCAGATTTCAAGCTTGCACGTGCAATGTAGACGTACCCTCAGAGAGGCCGGCTAAAACCTGAAACGTAAGGTTAATCATCCCTCCCAGAACTCCTGTCTGAACTATAGCAGCTCAGTCTATCCTTGTCATCTATAGGAACGTAAGATCCTGGAGTCCCCTGCTCTCACAGGCAACTCCATTGTATACGCCCCTTTAAAAACTTATCAAGCGCCGTTTGAAAAGGAGTTAGGTGCTTTGGCCCCATGACATCCAAGCTCTCTTTCCATGTGGCAGGGAGTTCCACAGTCAAACCGCACATCTTGTGGGGGGGAAAAAGGGATTTTGTTTGATCAATTTTGTACTTGCCACCCATCTCCTGGCTTCGTCGCTCCACAGGCATTCTCTCCTCGTTAGTGAAGCTGAATGCTAATGAGGCAGATTCTTAAAGCCCAAAACTCCCAGGCTGTGTCTAGACTGGCCAGTTTTTCCGGAAAATCAGCCGCTTTTCCGGAAAAACTTGCCAGCTGTCTACACTGGCCGCTTGAATTTCCGCAAAAGCACTGACTTCCTACTGTAAGAAATCCGTGCTTCTTGCGGAAATACTATGCTGCTCCTGTTTGGGCAAAAGTCCTTTTGCGCAAAAGGGCCAGTGTAGACAACTCAGATTTGTTTTCCGCAAAAAAGCCCCGATCGCAAAAATGGCGATCGGGGCTTTTTTTGCAGAAAAGCACGACTAGATTGGCACGGACGCTCTGTTCCAAAAATGCTTTTAACAGAAAACTTTTCCATTAAAAGCATTTCCGGGAAATCGTGCCAGTCTAGACGCAGCCCCGCTGAAATCAAAAGGGTCCTAAATACCTTTATATCTGTAGATGGCGCTTGGTCCTGCCATGAGGGCAGGGGACTGGATTCGATGGCTCTCAAGGGCCCTTCCAGTTCTAGGGTTCTGTGACTCTAGGATTCTACCTTTAAGAATCTGACCCTCCGTGCTTTCTGCCTTGAAACATTTCCGCTGATGGAGGCAGCAGACGGGCCAAAGAGTCTCCTTTCATGTTACTGTCATTGTAACCTCATCCCCCCATTCCTATTGACTTTTAGTAGGAGCAGGGTCACCAAACTCCCTCAAGCACCTTGAAAATCCCAGCTCCCAGCAAGATTTGCAAAGGCAACACGGCTCACTAGGTGCTGGATAATACAGAGGATCAGCAACGGGGGCTTTCCCCCACCCCCCCTTGCGCCAGTCCTAAGCCAGTCCGAGGCAACGGTAACAAAGAATTCTTATTTACCCGACTTGCCCACGTGGACTCCGCTCCTGAAATCAACGGGAGTTTGGTGCCGAGGACGCTTCACATTCCAGGCCTTTGTCCTTAGGTTTTCGGGAGCTGGGATTTTATTTGCAGCGTGGTGCTGTCGAGCTGCTTGTCAGTGCTGGAACGGGAGGTAGCTAAGCCTTCCAGCTCACTTTGCATTACCCATGCACCCGAAGCAAAGCTGCCCTCCCGTGGGAGCCCGGGGGACTCCCTTGTGGGAGGTTACGCGTGTGAGGAAGGGGCTGGCAGGCGCTGGCCCCGCCAATCCACACAAAGGAGTTCGCTCACCTTTCTGCACCAACCCCGGAGAACCCACTCCCCCTAGCCCAGCACGGAGCAGCAGAAACCCAGCTCTGTGGTTCGCAGAGCTCTGACAACACCACAGAGCGATCATCCGCCTGAGGAGGGGGCCGGGGTCTCTTCCCTTATCGCTTTACTCCCTCCGGCTGGTCGAATGGGCTGGCTGCGGCTAAAAATCCAATCCAAGTCGCCCCTCGGGGACGCTGCATTGTAGAATCCGAGAGAGATTTTACTTGGAATTGTTACTCCGTTGGGCGAGTAAGAGTCGGTAACTCCTCGGCCAATAGCGAGGCCAGTCAATTTCCATGAGGACAAGCCCATAGTCTTAACGTCTTAAAAAAAAAAAAGGTCACCTGGGGGCAGATCCTGCCTCCACTGATCCAGGAGATCTTTGCAGTGGCTGACCAAGGAGAAGTGATTATTCTGTTTGGACGACAGGGGACGGATCCCTCGTTCCCCGGTTCTGTTCACTCCCTGTGGGGCAGCTGGCGTTGGCCACTGTGGGCAGACAGGATACCGGGCTGGATGGACCTTTGGTCTGACCCAATATGGCCACTGGGCAAGATGCGAGAGCTCTTTTGCGTGATTTATAGACCCTTGACAGAAAGAGGAGGGGGAAGTGCTGAAAGCTGCCTACGTCCTCCGTGGTCTGTAAAGCCAGGGAGTAAATCAGTTGGGGAGGGGAATTGATGCATTTTGCACATGGGGCCCTGAGGCCCGGAGAGGGGCTGCGTGCCCGGGACGCAGAATTGATGCATTTTGCACATGGGGCCCTGAGAGGGGCTGCGTGCCCGGGACGCGGGGTGAGTTTGGACCTGCTGCAACCCAAGCGTTGGGGCAGGGTGGGGCATCGTTTTTCCTGGGCTCTGAAATAGCATCTCAAAAGAGGAACAAAGCGCGCACGGGAGGCCATTCTCACACCAGGCTGTGCCTGTTCTCGTGCCAGCCCTCACACGAGCTAGGGTGTTAACAATCATGGATAAAGTGCCAGGACTAAAAGCTTTATCCCCGTGAGAGGACAGTGCGGGAGTAGCCATGGCACGTCTGTGCAAGGCCTGGGCCTTTCACGAGCCCAGAGAGAGTTTCAAGTTATAAATACTGGGGGGTAGAGGGGGGCTCCGCTTCCTTTCCCATCTCCGTCTTGTCTAGTTAGCCTGTAAGTTCTTCATGACAGGGACTGTTTCGGACTGGGTACAAACAGCTCCCAGCAAGAGGGGGCCGAATCCATCTTGCAAGAAAGTCACAACCATTTTTTTTTAAATTGAGCCTTCGTTTCCCATTGGCCATGGGCAGCTATGATGTTTCAGCAGCTCACGCGTGACCTTGCCCAGCTAGTGCTGGGGTGATCCACGGTCCCTCCACCTGACTCGGTCTAGGGCCAGGCAATTCACACAGCGCACAGGTAAGGGAGGGTGCAAACCGAGAATCGGTACAAATCAAGAATAAGAGCCAGTCCCTGCCTCAAAAAATGTAGAGACACTAAGGTGGGAAGGAAACTGTAGAGGGTGAGTGAATTGTTCAAAATCACTCAGGAGCAGGAATAGCATCTAGATCTCTCGGCTGCCAGCAGTAACGCCTTACCTCTGTTCCATCCTGCAAACTCTCCGCTGTCACTGGAGTTTCCAGACATACCAGGAAGATCCATTTTTCAGCCATCTCTTTCATGACGTCCATTTAGCAAACTGGGCTGCATTCCTCCTTCCGTGTTATTCAATAGATTGCTTTAATAATGGCCATCAGGGACTGGGGAGTCAGGCTGCCCTTTAACGTCAGTAGCACCACTTACCTAAAGGACTCGAAGGCTACAAGGTTTGCAGGGCTGGACTCTTCGGTTCCGTCTTGCAAAAATAACCCACCTGTCCTTTTGCAACTTTAAACCCCCCCACAAAAACCAGAGGCATAATAAAAGATAGTGGTTTTCTTCACTCCCTCCACACACTCCCCTCTCCCCCCCCGGTTTGCCTTTTAAACGGTGCTAGTTAAGCACTATCCCGCATCATTGTCTGGTACCACCACTGCAGAGACAATGTGCCAGAAAAACTCAGGCCTGAGCTTGTAAATTCTTATGTCAATTTCACACAGTTGTTTTAAAGCAGGCTTGTGTTCTCCTCCTCCTCCCCCCACTTTTTCAAGATTGCAGTGCTTTAAAGAATCAACCTAATTTGCAGCCACATTTGTGTGCTGCTGTTAGAATCACTCATTAGAAACTAAAGGCTGGGGTTTTCAAAAGCACAACAGGGAGGAAGCCAAATGCCAGTGAAAGTCAATGGCAATCAAGCACCTGAATCCAGATTCTCAGATGGTGTAATTCAGTATAGCTACACACTTGAAACATGGCGTAGGCTGCAGAAAACTGGACGGTAGCTAGTGTGCCAAATTTTTAAAAAGGGCAAATGGAACCTCCCAGGTAACAGTAAGCCTGTTGGTCTCAAATTGATCTCAAGCAAGACTATTGGGCAGCAAATACAAGACTCAAAAATTAAAGGACAGTAACAATTAATATTAACATGGCTTTATGGAAAATAGATCCTGTTCAATTGACTTGATTTTTTAATGACGGCAAGTTTGCTTGATAAACGTAATGGTGCTGAAGGAATGTACTTAGACTTCTGGAAGGCATGTGAATTGGTACCGAAAAACATTCTGATTAAAAAGCTAAAACAATATAAAATGAACCAGGCACACATTTGATTAAAATCTAGCTTCCTGATAGGTCTCCATGGTTGTGTCTACATTGGCATGATTTTGCCCAAGAACTCTTTTGTGGAAGCATTCTTGTGCAAAAACTTTTCCAGAAGAGAGCGTCTACACTGGCATGTGCCTTTGCGCAAGAGCATCCGTGCGCGTGTTTACGCTTTCTTGCGCAAGAAAGCTCCGATGGCCATTTTAACCATAGGGCTTTCTTGCGCAAGAAATTCATGTTGCCTGTCCACACTGGCCTCTTGCACAAGAACAGTTGTGCAAGAGGGCTTATTCCTGAGCGGGAGCATCATAGTTCTTGTGCAAGAAGCCGTGATTTCACACATTAGAATGTCAATGTTCTTGCGCAAGAACACGCGGCCAGTGTAGACAGGCAGCAAGTTTTTGCGCAAAAGTGGCTGCTTTTGCGCAAGATCGCGCCATTGTAGACACAGCCCACGTGTAACTAAGTGGGGAATTATTGAGCAAATGTGTCTGTTCTCTTGCCCTGGCACTGTTTAACATTTTGATAGAGCTAGAAATCATCCCTGATAAAAGTTAGCAGCTGACACAATTGGGGGAGTGGTTGATAATGAGGCCAGGTTGCCAGGACGAGGAAAACCCCAACCTTTAGTTTCGAACGTCAAATGAATGGCTGTAACAGCAGTGCACAAACACAGCTGCAAGGGAGGCGGATTCTTGAAAGCGTGGTGACGCTGAAAGAGAGGGGGTAGAACGCAATAGAGAAGTGATCCACATTGCTTGGTAAACGGGGTGACAAGTGAACGATTTTGCAATTTGTGGCCCAAAAGGGCGAATGAGATCCTTGGATGCAGAGAGAGGAGAGGGACACAAGGGAGGGGTTGTGTTTCATGTCTGCATTTGGCACTGGAATCCTGTATCCCGTTCTGCAGCCACAGTTCGAGGAAGTGGGGACAAATTAGAGAGGGGTCAGAGAACTTTGAGAACGATTAAAGGACTAGGAAACCTGCCGCAGGCGTGATAAAGCCTACATACTAGAGAGATTAAGGTGGATTACTTCGTTACGGGAGTGTCCTTGATTAAGAACCTACCTAAGGAACCAATATTAAACAGGCTCTTCTGTCTAGCAGAAGTCAAAGCTAGATAAATCCAGACCAGAAATAAGACAAATGTAACAGTGAGCATAGTTAACCCTGGGCACAATGTACCATGGGGTCCCAGTGGATCCTCCATCACTGGTCTTTTTAAAAATCAAAATGGGATGTTTTCAATAAAAAGATCTGCTCTGGGAAGTACTTTGGGGCAGTTCCCTGGTCTGTGTTCAAGAGGCCAGGCTGGATCCAAATCATCCATGTGGCCGTGGAACCTATGAATTAACTGCAGCGGGTGCGTCATCAGAGCAGCTGACCTTTTCTTTTCTTTCCCTTTTTTCTGCCCACATTTAGGACAAAGCTTAAGTACAAGGGTAAGTACAAGCAATTGGCTCGTAAAGTGCAATCAGATCCCAGGCTGCCCTGCCTTATTTATAACCTCTTAAGTACTAGCAATTTGTATTTCATGTTCAAAGGTGATTCACCCACGGTACAGCGTACGGGCACAAGAATTGTGCACCATTACCACATGACGTCCACAGCTGCTCAGGACTTTGAGCACGTTACTCGGCCTGGACGCTTGGTGCGGCTCTCGGAAACAAGCATTGGTGCATGAGGAGGTCCACAGAAGGAATGCAAAGGAACCGGGGCTGGAACAGCTGGAGCGGGAGGATAGCATTAAAAGTACTGGCTCGGGGGGAAAATAATTGAATGAGATCTGGGTGCAATACAGGCCTTTTTTTTCCAGAGCCCCCCCTTTTTGCATCTAGGAACCTCTTTTTTGGTGCTTTTAACCCCTTATTTGGGAAGGTGGAGCAATGCCTGTGAGCTAGCACAGTCAGCGGAGAGTAAATACATTTTGCTCGTCTTACGCAAAAAGCCACGTTGCTCTTACGGGTGAAAGGACATGGGACCAGGAGGGATATGCCAGTTAACAGTGGACATATTCCTAGCTCTAAATTGAGTATCAACTGGACAGCAAAAAAAAAATAGCATCTGACTTTACACTGGCCTCTCTCGTGCCTTGTTTTACCGCAGTTTGCCAGAAGCTGGGAAAAGGTGATGGGGAGGGATCACTTGACGATTCGCTGCTCTGTTCATTCGCTCTGAAGCGCCCACGCTTGGCCACTGTGGGCAGACAGGATACTCGGCTAGCTGGACCATTGGGCTGACCCAGCAAGGCTGTTACGTGGTCTTGCTCTGTGGGGGACTTAGGAAGCCAAGCGAGCAGGGGGCAGATGGCAGGGGCTGGAGCACTCGGCTTCACAGCGTGAGCATTCTCAGCAAGGCCGTCAGAACGCAGCAGTTG